AGGTGCGCAGCGCTCGGGCTGCAGACTCGTGCTGCTGGAGGAGAGGCCCTGCCTGGCCACAGCCGCGCCCAGGCTCCTCTTTGCAGGGAGGGCAGCGCTGCTCCAGTCCAGCCCCGCGTGCATGGGCAAATCAGGCCGGCACAGCCCTCCCACTGATGCTGCGATCCCTGAGATTGTCCGAGATGCCCACACCCTCCTCCGGGAGCCCACTGCAGCCACCTCGCCGGTGCGGGGAAGTGGATGTGGATGGTTTTCTCTGGAGCGGCGGCATTTCCCCCTTTGTCGGGGGAGAGACCCGCTCCAGCAGGGGCTGGTCCAGCTCCACCGCAGCTTCCAGCATCGCATTCCCACACCGGTCCGGCCCATTTATTCAGCCAAGGCTACCCATCTGTGTATTTTGCTGGGAGGCCTGCGCGGGCCCCAGCATGGCAGGGCATGGGGAATGCAAACAGAGACAGCAGGGGCTCAGCTGGGGTCTTACTTCATTTCCGATGTTTTGTTTCCGAGAGAGAATTTAGGAATGTCCCTAACCCTAACTCTATTGCTGGAGTCATCACAGCCAGGCAGAGCAAAGCCAAAACTACAGCCCCTGCTGAAGAACAACAAAGCCCTGGAATGGGAGATGTGCTGGGAGTTTATTTTAGTGTAGAAAAAATGTCAGAAATATGTATTGTTTAGACAGGGCTTTGTTGGGGATATGTAGATAAAAGCCTGGCATGAGCCCAGCCTGGGGGAAGACATGCCAGACCCCTTCCTTCTCCTGAAAGGCTCGCCTTCGGAGTCGGCACGCTGGCGCAGAGGGGGTCTTTGCCCGTGGGGGACCTTCCACGCGAATGGGACGCAGCAGGGGTACGTGGCTGTGAGGCCACCACGTTGTCGCTGCTCCTTGCTGCCGAGGGGGTGCAGTACCCGCTTGCTCAGACGCTCGGGCACGCTTCTAGGAGAGCTCCCCCATAAGCCTGCCCTGCCCGCTCGCTCTCCAATACGGCTGGTACCCATATGGACAGGCTTTTAGCAGGAAACAATATTTCAGCCCACCTGTGAAGTTGACTCGGCCTGGCTCTGTAGAGGCGACTTTCCGTCACGGCAGGGTGTCACTGTCAGCCACCTGGTAAATGCACTCGCAACCAGAAAGGATGGGACGTGGCTTGCAAAACCAGCTCTGGGGGCCTAGGGCTGATGCACCGAGCAGCCCTCAGGGCGGGCAGCTCTGGCCAGACTGGCAGCGGAGACCCTCCTTGTCCCAGCCTTGGCCACCTAACTCAGGAAGCACTGTTAATTAGCAAAGACATGAAAATGCTGCATTATTTTCCACTTTAGGCTGCTGGACAATTCCCTGCCCTATGTGTTATCTGCAGACACAGGCCTGGCTCCCAGACAAGAGCACGGGCCTTTGCCTGCCAAAACTCAGGCCTCGGGCACCTAAGCCATAGGAGAATTTGCAGTACTGACCCATGCATCCCCATGTTCGTCTGCTCCTGGCTGGCCTCTCACCCAGGCTGGACGAGCCCTGAGCGGTCTGGTTCCCGTCTAGCGGAGAGCAGAGCCGTTCTTACAGGACCACCTATGCACTGGCCCATCGCACGGGGTTTGGAAACCCTGCAGGCAGGGATGAGGACTGCTGTGCGCTCGTGGCTGCAGCTCCCTGTGCTGGACTTCCCCCCAGGCATCCCAGTGAGGGGGAAGAGAGGTCCGTCCTCCCCGAGGGGACTCCTCCGGAGCTGCCGTCTGCAGCTGGTGGCTCTGATGGGCACGGTGCTCTGCCAGCCCGCCCCATCCTGCCCTGGTCCGTGCCGAGAGCGCGCTCTCCCCGCTCATCGCCGCTCCAGTGCATTTGCAACTGGGGCTCGTGGCCTCCTGAGAGCAAGCGGGCAGCTCATGCACGCCCGTGCATTCACACGGACAGGGGTTACGCCAGGTCTCCGCTCTGTTGTTGTGAGAGGCGACTTCCCCAGAAAGGCAGCATGAGATCCCAGCTGTTCCTCTTCACGCAGCAAAGGCGGACCCAGGAACAGCAAAAACATTTCCCTCTCCAGGAGAGCTGGCCGAGGAGGTGCGGCTCCTGGCCAGCGGGGCCTCTGGTGCCTGAGGTCGTCTACCGCCCCGTTTCCCCTTATGCCGAGCACTCGGGAGACATCTGTCCAGAGCCACAGCCCGGCTCTGCCTTTCCCGAGCTCCAGCTGCTGGGCCGAGCCCTGGCTCCAGGGTCCGGGCGGGGGCAGGAGAAGGAGAAGGAGGCTGGATGCGACGGGATGGAAATTCCAGCGGGAAGCATTCAACGGGGTCCAGTTGGCAGCTCGGTCGGGAACTGAGCAACTGCTCTGCTCGGCCCGAGGGCTCCTGCAGCTACTAGTTTCCCCAAATGAAATCAGCAGGACCTGGTGGGTGGATTGAAGGGACTCTGCCGTGCAAAGGGACGTGGCTGCCTCCTGCACGGCTATGCCACAGACCGGGCACACGCTAGACGTGCGTGTACCTGAGCTCTGTTGTCATGCCTGGGCCCTGCGTGTGCTGTGCGGGGGGCCGCGGCTGCCCCCGTCTGCACCCTCACGCTAGCCCCACGCGTCAGGGGTATCATCTAGCAGGGGTTTCAGGAGCCCTCGCCCTGTCGCGCCCTGCCTCCCCTGCCGATCTGAGTGGAAAAACGATGTCCTGGTGTGACCCAGGTGTTAGCGACCCCCCTCCCACCCCCCCCGGGGACCCTGCCTCTGCAGCCCCTGTGGCAAAGCGTACCAGCCCTGCACGGACCTGCCCGTCTGCTGCGGCCCGGGCGGTGGACGGGGAGTCGGAGCCGGCGGGGCTGTGACTGGCCCCCGGGCGCCCGCACCCAGCCCTGGGGCCCTGGCAGCCCCCGCGCCGGGGTCACGCCGACGGCAGAGTCTTTCCCATGGTGGCTGGGCTCCGATTATGCAGGCGAGATGCTATCTCCTGGTGGCAGTGGGAGGCAGGAATGTCAGCGACAGCTTCTCTTTAAGCGCAGTGAGAGGGGGTTTGTTTCGGAAGCTGGCGGGCTCCTGCTGACGCAGGATTTCGGGAGCCAGCTTCCCCCAGGAGCGGCCTGGCCGCTGCAGGGACCGCGGGGACGAAGCCCCGGCTTGGGGTAACGCCGGCGGAGGGCGGAGGGCGGAGGCAGGGACAGGTCAGGAACGGTGCCCGACCTGCCGGGTGGGGCAGGATTTTCATGCCTCGGGGCTCGCTCCTCTCCTCTGCACGTCCCTGCCAGCAGGACTCCTGTCTCGGCACGCTAGGGTGTTTCTGAGGGCATCTTTGCCGTGGAGTCACGAGGCACCGGCAAGCAGCAGGCCTCGAGAGCATCCCTCCTGCGGGGTCGCAGGCTTCCCTGGCCCCTGTCCCGCACCCGTGCCAGAGCCCAGCCAGGGCAGACAGACCCAGGGGCTCCCTCTGCCATTGCACCAGGAGCAGGCTGGGACCGGCTTCCCCTGTGCACAGCTCCTGCCTCCCATGGCAAGAGTGTCCTCTCCTACCCCGCAGCACAGGCACCGCACCTCGGCCACCTGGCCCTTTCCAGTGGCCGGGCCAAATCCATAGGCGAAATGGGTCCTGCAGGGAGAGGAGGACACGGCCCATCTCTGGGGGTGCTCAGCGCCCCGCTGGATGTGGCCGCGAGGGAGGGGAGGCTGCTCTCTCACCTGGCCTTAGCCGTAGTGCCGATGCGGCTGCGCTCGGTGCCACGAGCAAGGTCACCAGCCCAGACCTGTGCTACCGGCTCCCTTCACCCTTCACATGCCCGGTGTTTTGCTGCATCCCTCCCTGGGGTTGTCCAGCCAAGCAAGGGGCTGCACAGACCCACCCTGGGCCTTAAGAGATGCTCGTGGGCACGGCAGCAGTCCTGCTTAGAGCAGGCGTTGAAGCGGGCATGGGGCGGCTAACGAGGTCCTTGGCTCTGCCTCTCACGAGCTCCCCCCGCAAGGGTTTTCTCCGCGCCTGCCCGGGGCTCAGCCAAACCAGCGCGTTTCCTGTGGGCTCGGGCTTTGCGCCCTGCTCTCCACCCAGCCGGCAGGACGGTGGGCTCCCACGGGGTCTGCCTGTCTCTGGTTTTCCGCTCGAGGAGCAGCCCGCATTGGCAAGTGCCCCCTGCGGCTAGGCTGTGCGCAGGGACTGTAAGCACATCCCTGGTCATGTCCCTCCTTCCCCACTGGGGAAAGGGTCAGGAAACTCGGGCACCAGCCATGCACCGCCCCGCCGGCCGAGCCCGGCCGGGCCGCGGGGGGGGGGGGGGGGGGGGCCTGAACGCAGCCCTGCATGCGGCAGGCCGCTCGCATGGTGAAGGAACTCACTCCGCGGATGTCACCTCCCACCAGGCACGTCCCAGAGGCAGCGCGTCGCCCTTGGCTCGGCGTGAGAGCATCGTCTGCACGCGTCCAGGCGTGAGCTCATGCGACGCTTGCTCGTACACGGGCCGGGGTTTGCAACGGGGGGGCAGCCAGCAGCTTGGAGCCCCGGGGAGGGTGTCTGAGCGGCCGCCGGTCATCCCCTCAGGGCTCACAGGGATGTTTGTGCCAGGGATGAGAAGCCAAAACCCAGCAGGAGCTTAATGAGGACCAGTCAGCCCCGCGCTGAAGCCAGCGGAGCAGAGGGGCTGCAGCCTCCTCCTCCTCCTCTGCCGCCTGCAGCTCTGCGGCCCGGCGGCTTCGAGGGGAGCGTGGGACCCCTTGCATGAGTGAGTTATGGAGGCAAGACCCTCCCTCTGCAGCCCCTGGGAGAGAGCAGGGGGCTGGTGCGGATTAATGCCGCCCGGGCAGGGACACCCCAGCATGGGAACGCAGCTCCTAGGCAATCCGGCATCGCAGGGGAAACGACACAGACAGAGGCTCTGGTTTTCAACCTGTTATTTTTTAATATGGTTCACTTCTAAAAAAGACTGGAAATCAAGCCAAGCGCCCCTCGGTCCTGGCCTCGGGCCCCTTCCCGGGGGCCTGGGAGCCCCAGAATGAAGCCAACG